GATTTCTAGATCAGGAAATATGTTCTTGGAAGGCCGTTACCAATAATTTAGACCCGTAGCAAGGCCCCCCACAGCCAAGAAGTGTCTGTGCAACACCCCGCCCTGTCGTCGTGTCCCCCCCCCGTTTTCTATTACAGGTAGTAATGGAAACTCCCAGCTCAGATTTAAAAATCTCTTTATTGGGCCTTAATTACGATGATCGCCTCTGCTTTCCCCATGGCAACAGGTTTTCTGCATTTGGGTGGCCTTCGGACTGCTTTATACAATTACATCTTTGCCAGAAAACACCAGGGGACCTTTGTTTTGAGAGTGGAGGATACAGATCAGGATCGAGTGGTGCCTGGAGCTGCGGAAGGAATAGAAGATATGCTGGACTGGGCAGGGATTTGCAGACACCTTTCCTATTTCTTTTTAGATGTTAACAGTACCCCAACTCAGAGTATTTAGCACAACAGCAACCTATGCTGTGTTTCAGATGATGAATTGGTTGAAATGCAGTTATTTCTACAGCAAAGCCTGAGGAAGGTCCTACTGGAAGTATGTTTTGTAGGAGAAATAACTGGTTAGGCTTGGTTTCTTTTGGCTGTGTTGTCTGATGTGCAGAAAGTTCCAAATCTGTGAAAATAGCCCAGTGTGCAGCTGTGACAAAGGTTGTGCACGAGAGACGTGGTGGAAAGGTGAGAAGCTGGAGCAGACAGACCTCGCTGTAAATTGTTTGTATATGGAGTGTTTGCCAAAAGGGATCTGGAGGTGTCAGTTCTCATTTTGAATCCTCTGCTTGGTTTTGAGTTTAAGAACTAGAAGTGAGGGTGACTCCAGAATGCGAAATTGCCGTAGCCTCAGAGCCAGATCCCATGGGTGCTGCTGCTAATGGGTAGGTGGGCTTGGAGGGACTAGGGCTTGGCTGTTGCGTAGTAATTTGGGAGTAGGTAAAGTAACTGGCTAAGGTCTCAGCTGTGGTTTTGTGGTATGAGTGTTCCTTACTATGAAAAGGGTGGACGCTGCTCCTGAAAATGCAGTCAGTGTGCACCCCTGACTCCGCTTTGCTCTCGGTCGTGCGTCAGAGCCACTCAACTTTGCTGGGTTCTGGTAGGTTTTTCCTGCTCGTTGCTTCAAGCACAAGACTCTAAATTCTGAAGATGTTGGCTGCTGTTTATTGTCTGAGTCCAGGGGGATCTGGCCATGTGCTAGACAGATGCCCTTACCAGGCTGCCCTGGAGCAGAAACCGCCCTCGGATGCTCTCCAGAACCTCGCTGTTTCACCTCTGTTCAGGGTGCTCCAGTGGCGGGTTTCACTCTGCCTTTTTACAGGGCTTTTAAAGAAGTCCTGTCATACTGGTGTTTCAGGTATCCCCCCCGATGAGAGTCCTCGCCGCGGCGGTTCCTTTGGACCCTACCAGCAGTCGCACAGACTTGACCTTTATAAGAGAGCCACCGACGTGCTTCTGGAGAGAGGCGCAGCATACCGCTGCTTTTGTACCCCTCAGCGCCTGCAGCTGCTGAAGAAGGAGGCTTTGCGGAGCCAGCAGACCCCGCGGTAGGGATTCCTCCTCCTCTGGGTGCTTCCCTGTGCTGCTGACTTGCAAAAATTTAGGACAGTGTGCGCGGCAATAGGACTGTAATCCCACTGTATGCAGAGAGAGAAGCCAGTGTGACCCTCAGGCCTAGAAGAGTGACCTCCAGAGATGAGGTAGTTTGACTGGACACAGAGTGGGCAGGTTACAGCTAAAATTCAGGGATCTATTTAGAGTTTTGGGGATGTAAAAACAGCTGATGGGGTTGGTCTGTATCGAACCGAGACCTTCGTTCTCCTTTCTCGAAGGTACGACAACCGGTGTCGGCACCTGACACCCACGGAAGTGTCGGAGAAGCTGTCCCAGGGCCTGGACTGGGTAGTCCGTTTCCGACTGGAGAAGGGGGTGGAACCCTTTCAGGACCTGGTCTATGGCTGGAACAAGCACGAGGTGGCGGATGTGGAAGGCGACCCAGTGATTCTCAAGGGCGACGGCTTCCCCACTTACCACCTGGCAAACGTGGTGGATGACCATCACATGGCCATCAGCCACGTTCTGCGGGGAACCGAGTGGCTGACTTCGACCTCCAAGCACCTCCTTCTCTACAGAGCCTTTGGCTGGGAGCCCCCCCAGTTTGGTCACCTCCCACTGCTTCTGAACAAAGACGGCGGCAAGCTGTCGAAAAGGCAGGGGGACGTCTTTCTGGAGCGTTTTGCTGAGGACGGCTACTTGCCAGAGGCGCTGCTGGACATCATAACCAACTGTGGCTCTGGATTCGCAGGTATCGATGACAGGCCTGGTGCTTGCTGGGGCTCTTCCTGGGGCTGTCTTTGGGGAGTGGGTTAGGCTTATTTTAATAGCCGAGAGCTTTGACAGCATTTGAAGGGATCAGGAAAGGGGTGTTGGGTGACCAGTCTGTCACTGAAATGCCACTGCGGCTTCTGCAGAGCTCCTGTGATGGCCTGGGTGTTGTGCTGGAGCGGTGGGAATCTTTCTGCCTCTGCGCAGCCGTTTGAGTTGAATCCAATGCTTACTGGGTTCCCACTTTCATGGATGAATGTTTCCCAGCATTCATCTCAAGGTGAAGAAACTGCCTGTGAACTCTTGGGAGAACTTGTATTCCATGGTTAAAAATTGCAGCGTCATGTGTTGTGTCTGTCACGCTTCTCATTTAACCTGAAAGACCAAGTTGGGTCAATGGCTCCTCTTGTTGCTCTTGGTGTGTGGGGATCACAAATGAACTTGTATTTTCGGGAGCTCTGCTTGGGAACAAAACCTTTCCTGGGCATGGAGCCTCCTGGCTGAGTGTTGCTGCTTCTTGGCCAAGTCGTGCGAGGGGTGTCCGCTGGAGAGCCAAGCAGGATGTGCCAGGTTCCAGTTCCTCGCCGGCAGTTCGCAGAGCCTGCTGGCAGGGACAGGGCAGCTTCTGTTGGCCTGTTGGGGTTCCCCCCTTCTTGCTGGGGTACATCCCTGTAAGCGCCGTGCCTGTGGCTGGCAGTGAAAGGCAGTGGCGCCCGTTCTCTGGGGGAGAGTGGATGTGTATTATTCCATTGTTGGGTTGTTTTGCAGAGAAACAGATGGGGAGGACTTTGGAGGAGCTGATCTCGCAGTTTGAAGTAGGCAGAATTACAACCCATTCTGCCCTCCTGGATCTTGAAAAACTCACGGAATTCAACAGGTATAAACATCAGTGGTGACTTTGAGATCGCATCAGTGAGCATTTATTCCTAGCACTTGGCTTTGGCTGGCAATTTTATCTGTGGGACCAAGCACAGCCCCGGCACAGCAGCTTTTCCACTGCGCTCCAGCGAGGTCCAAGTTTCTGCTTACACCATTCCTGTCTCCTCACCCATCCCGTGCTTGGACACTGCAGAAACCTGGGCAGAGGGCTGGGAGGATGCAAGCTCTTAAGTTGAGATTCAAAATAACGTCTAAGAAGGGGCAACACTTGCAGAGGGTACGTCTGCACGTCCGCTCGTGTGCGGTGCTGTGGGATGCGGTCCTCCTCAGCAGCACGTCTTTTGTTCACTGGTGCATGAGCACTTCAGGCTCTGTTGTAGAGTGTGTGTCTGGGGTTAATGTTGCTTTTCGAAGAGTTTTGATTGGTAAACATTGTGAGATTGGGATGGTTGGATCCAATCTAAACCAGAGCAGTCCAAAAGCTGGTTTCTTCTTTGTTACAGGATCCACCTCACCCGTCAGATTGAGCATGAAGGGCAGCGACAGAAGCTAATTAGAGAGTTGCGGTTGCTGGTGGAACACGTCTACGGGGATCAGCAAGTGGATCGAGAGGTTCTAGAAAAGGAGTATGTGGAGCGAGTACTCCTACTGAGAAAAGTATGAGCAGTTGATAGCCTTGTGTCACCATTTCGGGGAGCTCAGGTTTTGTGGGATTCCTGGGTGAAGACTCAGCTGAGTCCTGGGCGCTGCCTTGATCTGAGCTCCGATGCTCTACAGCCTGCAAAAGGCTCTCGCTGCGCTCAGGGGATCACGGGGCTGCCAAAATCCGGTGGTACAGTTAGCTGACTGGTAGGCATGGGCACGGGGAATGTCTCGGTGGTCCTGGCAGAGCCGTAAGCCCACCCATACTTTGCCGAGGTGGCTGACAGCTCTCAGCAGAGGGAGGATGTGTCCCTGCCACGGAAACAAATCATGAATTGTAGGATTTTCTTGGCAGACCGCTGGCGCTCAGAGCGGGACTGTCAGTAGTGCGGGATCGGGTCAGCTGTAGCTTTGTCCAGCTGAGTGTTGAAAACCTCCACGCTACGCTTCTCCCATAGCCCAGGATGCAGCTCCTTGGGGCGGGAAGGCCCAGCACCCCGGGCCCCTCGTGCTAGGAGCCTGCTCACCTCTAGCCTTGGCTGCCTGGGCAGCACGCGGTGCTTCTGCTCTGCCGCTGCTCCGTGCTTTGGAAGCAGAGTCAAGGGGTAGATGAAGCTCTTGGTTGAACCAGCGGGGTCTGTGCAGGGGAACCCTGGTCAGTCAGTGGCAGAGCGCTGGCTGTAAAGGAGACAAGATATCGTGGCTTTTTCTGACACCAGGAAGGAGGATGAGCCCAGCCGGTTCCCAGTCTGCCCCTGGGATGCTACTGGTGTATCTGGGGCATCCCTTGTGAAGAATAAAGCCTTTGTAGGGGCAGGAAGAGACCCAGCTGTTCCAGCACGAAGGCTTTGCTGTGGCAGTGGGACGGTGACTCACGTGGCTTCCCACCGCTATTGAAGGGCGGCAGATGAACATGGCGAGCCACTTCCCCGGGCTAGCTCGGAGTCAGCCTGCACACGGCTCTGAGCACGGCTCCAGCAGCCGCCCTTGGGCTGCTTCTGTGTCCCTGCTCGCAGCGGGGAACGGGTGTGAGAAGCCCAGCAAGTCCCATCTCTGAGCACTACGAAGTGCAAGACCAGTGTGTTGGGTCCCACTTAACTGTTTGTGAAGCCCAGGAGGGGTGAGTTTCCTTCCCCCAGCTTAACCCTCAGCCTTGACAGCTTTGCTTCCTCTCTCCAGGGTCACATAAGTCTCCTGAAGAATCTGGTGTCATCTGACTATTCTTACTTATGGGTCAGGCCCTCGGTGTCCCGAGAGCAGCTACGCACTGTTTCTGCAGAAGCAGATGAAATAGGAAGGCTCGTCTCAGGGTAAGTGTCTCCTCCCAGCTCTGCACACCCACCTGCCCGCCCCAGAGCGTTGCTCTTGGCGGCTCTGTTGATGCTGGACGTGCTCACGGTCCTGATTTAATTTGCTCTGCTTTGGAATGGGCCGTAGTTAATCACTAGTGAGAAATCAGCTCGCCAGCAGGAAGCTCCCCTCCGTGCTCTCAAGCAAGAGCTGTCCCGCCTGGGTTTTGTAAAGCACTAGGCACAGAGGTGTTTGTGTGCCAGCGTGGCGTGGGCGAAGCGGCAGTGTTGGCAGGGATTCCCACGCCGCCCCATCTCCTGGGCTTTCATCCCCCGTAGCGTGGAACTGGGAGCGCAGGCTGGTGCGTTCAACGCGTGTTCGGGTTACGCCTCGTGGTGTCTGGGTCTCTGGAATGAACCCAGTCTGTGTCCAGTTGGAATCACTGTTGATTCTGAGGAGCTCATCGCTGGGGGGCTTCTCCTGCTCCCCTCTCTTTGTGGCTGCAGTTCTGTCTGCTCAGCAGCCCTTCCGGGGTGGCAGCCAGTCTGCCCAGGCCGGCACCTTTACCCTCTGCCAGTTCTGGGGGGTTTTGCCAACCTGTTCCGCTGCTGCCCCATGTTTCTCCGCCGCCGCAGGCCTGGCAGCTAGGCGTGGTGGTGTCCGTCACCTCTCAGCTCAGGTCTCACATCCGGACTAAAACGAGCCCTGAAGCCTGGTTTTGGGGAGTACCTGAAGTGACAGCACTGCAAGTGGAGCTGTGTTCAGCTGTGGCACGGCTGATTGCCCTCGGTCCCTCACAGCTGAGTGGTAACTGCCCGTGATGCTAGTTTCAGTGTGGGAATACTCGCCATCCTGGAGGGATGACAGCACTGCTGCCCTCACCTGCGTAGCAGCGGCGGTTGCTCCTGCACCTCTAAAAATCCTATTGGTAAAAGATCACAATTCCTGCTTTTGCTGTGGTTTTAAACTTGGCACTTGCTTTTCTGAACAAACCGCTCCGGTGCCGCTGAGGTAGCAGTACGATTTCGCCAGGCAGAGCCTCCCGCAGCAGGACCGAGGCAAAGCAGCCCGTCCTGCCAGGCTGGGAGGGTGCCTGTGCCCACGGCCGGCGCTGCCGGGAGGGAGGGGGTGCCTGGCACAAGGTGGGAGTGCCGGGCAGGGAACTGCGCCGCTGGCTGCTGCTCTTGCCAGGAGGTCTTTGCGAAACCAGGCTGAGGTAGCTGGCAGACATCGAGTTCGGTAACCGTTCCTGGGCAGGATCCTGTGTTCTGTACCCGCCGGTTTCTTTCCTAAAGGCTCATGACTGGGCAGGCAGCAGTTCTGACTGTGGAGGAGTTGAACAAAGACCTGAGAAGGCTCCAGGAGCAAACCAAGGAGACTAAGTACAGCAGCATGATGAAGCTTCTTCGCTTGGCTCTCAGTGGGCAGCAGGTAAAAAATAAGAATTCTGAGACTGGGACCTTCTTGTTTTCTTTTTTAAACAGCTCTCTCCTCTCTGACGGCGAGGTTCTGGTGTTGGGGCGTCTCACCAGAAGCGACATTGGTTCCTGTTAGGGGTGAACGTACCGATAGGCAGCGATTCGGGAAGAGGAGCTGAGCTGAAAGTCCCAGAGAGGCAGAAGGTGTCAAAGCATGAATGTGCTGGTCCCAAATCTGACGTTAGAAAAGCCCCTGGACCAGCTGTAGGGAGCGCTGGCAAGGCTGTAGGTTGGGGGCAAAACTGAGATTTTCTGCGCAATCTGATTTTACAGAGTTCAAACCTAGGTTTTACAGAAGTCCTTCAGAGCCTAGTCCTGGCTTAGGCTCTGCGCTGATCCCTCTGGCTCAGTTTGGCCATTCTTAGCCTTTTACTTCGGGAGAGGAGGAGGACTTGGGGGTACTGGTGGACGAAAAGCTGGACATGAGCTGGCCGTGTGCACTGGCAGCTCAGAAAGCCAACCGTATCCTGGACTCTTATCAGGAGAAGTGTGGCCAGCAGGGCGAGGGAGGGGATTCTGCCCCTCTGCTCTGCTCTGGTGAGACCCCACCTGGAGTGCTGCGTCCAGCTGTGGGGCACCAACATTAGAAAGGATACAGACCAGTTGCAGTGAGTCCAGAGGAGGCCACGGAGATGCTCTGAGGGCTGGAGCCCCTCTGCCATGGGGACAGGCTGGGAAAGTTGGGGTGTTCAGCCTGGAGAAGGGAAGGCTCCGGGGAGACCTTAGAGCCCCTTCCAGTGCCTGGGGGCGCTACAAGAGGGCTGGAGGGGGACTTTTTTACAAGAACAGAGAGTGACAGAAAAAGAGATAACGGGTTTAAACTGAAAGAGGGTAGATTCAGGCTAGTTACAAGGAATAAGTTTGTCACGTACAAGGTGGTGAGGCCCTGAGGTTGCCCAGAGAGGCTGTGGATGCCCCATCCATGCAGGCTGGATGAGGCTTGGAGCAACCTGGTCTGGTGGAAGGTGTCCCTGCCCATGGCACGGGGGTTGGAACTAGATGATTTTAAGGTCCCTTCCCACCCAAACCATTCTGTGATTCTATGGAAATAAAAAACCCCAAGCCCTTGTTCTGAGGTTGCTAACAAAACCCCCACCCGTGGTCTAGCAGCGATCTGATAGCTCGTCACGCTGTCGTTTCCGCCGTGGTGATGCATAAACACGTGCCGAGAAGTTTCCATTTGTACAGCCACTTGTTCTTGTTTCAGCACGGGCCGAGCGTGGCGGAGATGATGGTGACTTTGGGACCCCAGGAGGTGTGTGGAAGAATACGCAAGGCCCTGTCCAGCTGACGAGATGGCAGCGACCCCGCCAGCCAGCCCGCGACCTCGGGCGGCACGGGGCCTTCTCCCAGACCTGCAGTTTCTGACTGGGGCGATGACCTTCCATCGGATGAGATGGGCTCCAGCCAGGCGTCACGGCGGTGCTTCCCGGGCCGTTTGTGTCCGCACCAAGCATAAGGCAGTTTGTCTGGGAGAGGAGCCGAACGCAGATTTAGGGCCGTCCTGCTTTCACCTCGTGCAAGTGGCCTTTTGGGAACTTTTATCCACCTTTAAATTCAGACCCTGTGGACAGAAACGTGGTTCCCGGTGCCAGCATAGCTCGCCTCAAGCCATCGGTCTCTTTGAGAGGAGAGAGCTTGAGGGTACCTGCCGCTACGACTAGACAGCAAATGCCGTGGGGAGGGTGTTTACATATGTAAATATATGTGTGATATGAAATGTGTATGTTGCAGCTCCTGCCAGGCTGAGCGAGCCCCGCGGAGAGCGCAGCTCTGCTCCCTCCGTCTTGTGTCACGCATGTGGTTCTGCTGAAAATATCCCTGACCGGCAGACTGGGATGTTTTTTCCTCTTTTGGTTGATGACCTTTTAATTATTAAATTAACGTGGTGACTTTTGATTCCGTTCTCCCTGGGGCATGCTTGTTCTGCGCGCCAGCGAGGGGAGGAGCAGCCGTAGGGGGGGGGGTGCGCGTGGGGGATG